GGGAAATCAAAGCAGGAATCAACACAAATAGAAGAGTATTTTCTGGGGAAAAATACACATATAAATATAAAAAAAGAGAGGATGACAGGGGGATAGAGAGAAAAGGGGAAATCAAAGCAGGAATCAGCTCAAACAAGAATCTTTGGGGTTAAAAAACACATATATAAATATAATATAAATATAAAAACATACATAGATATAGAAATGTAGAAAAAGGGAAATCAACTCAAACAGAAGAGTATTTTTGGGGGAAAAATACACATATAAATATAAAAAAAGAAAAGAGAGGGTGACAGGGGGATAGAGAGAAAAGGGGAAATCAAAGCAAGAATCAGCTCTAACAGAAGAATCTTTGGGGTTAAAAAACCCATATATAAATATAAAAACATACATAGATATAGAAATGTAGAAAAAGGGAAATCAAAGCAGGAATCAGCTCAAACAGAAGAATATTTGGGGGAAAAAATACACATATAAATGTAAAAAAAGAGAGGATGACAGGGGGATAGAGAGAAAAGGGGAAATCAAAGCAGGAATCAACTCAAACAGAAGAGTATTTTTTGGGGAAAAATGCACATATAAATATAAAAACATACATAGATATAGAAATGTAGAAAAAGGGAAATCAAAGCAGGAATCAACTCAAACAGAAGAGTATTTTTTGGGGAAAAATGCACATATAAATATAAAAAAAGAGAGGATGACAGGGGGATAGAGAGAAAAGGGGAAATCAAAGCAGGAATCAGCTCAAACAGAAGAATCTTTGGGGTTAAAAAACCCATATATAAATATAAAAAAAGAGAGGATGACAGGGGGATAGAGAGAAAAGGGGAAATCAAAGCAGGAATCAGCTCAAACAGAAGAATCTTTGGGGTTAAAAAACCCATATATAAATATAAAAACATACATAGATCTAGAAATATAAATAAATAAAGGGGCTGTGCTGAAGGAGGACAAGCAGGAGAAATCAAAGGGAGATGAAGGAATGAAAAGGAGCAGACATCAAAGCAGGATGATCTTCCAGGAGAGGGAGAGGTGACTGGAATAGCAACGCTGGTGGCACCAGGGCTGGGAACCAAAGCCAGCCCTAAATCATTAACTCTGCCCAAACAAGAAAACATCACCTTCTCCCCAAGGTGGAACTATTTGTTACTAGGACAATTCCCACTCCCCCCTCCCGTTTTATTTGCTGGAAATGTGGTTATTTCACCATTTATCTTCCACAGAATTGCACTGACACCGTCCCTGGGGGCAGACAAATCCCAGATTCCCACTGACAGCTCCAGGATTCATCTTCAGCACTGTAAGAGCAGCCAGTCCCTGATCAGCAGCATCTCCCACCCACACCTGAAAGTGTTTTCTCAGGAGAAACCAAAACAAGGGCACGGAAAAGTACAGTGCTCCAAGAATTCCTGCACCCCAGCTGAGAGTTTCCAAGCCAAAGCCACATTTGGGGCACTCAGCTCAGACATGGGAAGGCTCTGCAGGAAAAGGGACCCAGGGAAGTAAACAAAGCCCAGAGGCAGGGGAAAAGGGGCTGACACACGATGTTCATCCAGCAGCACGCCAGGGCTGGCTCTGGCAGCAAACACAGCTGCTCTTATCAGCACAGATAGCTTTGATGTGGCTGGCAGGCCCCCATCCATCCCTCCATCCATCCCTCCGTCCATCCCTCCGTCCATCCCTCCGTCCATCGCTCCGTCCCATCCATCCATCATCCATCCATCATCCATCCATCATCCATCCATCCATCATCCATCCATCCATCATCCATCCATCATCCATCCATCCATCCATCATCCATCCATCATCCATCCATCCATCATCCATCCATCCATCCATCATCCATCCATCCCTCCACCCATCCCTCCCGCAGCCCTGGGGTGGGATCAGGGACAGGACGTGGATCTCCTCGTCCCAGCACCAGACACAGCCACAGACCAGGATTTCCAGGGTGTTTGGAACCCAAGAACTGCCAACACCAACCCTCTGAAAGCCTGTGTGCAGCCCTGCTGGGGGCTGGAATTCACTCATTTCAAAGTGACAGGAACACAGCCATGCTCCACCATCAGCCTTGCCCCTTGCAGGGTCCGAGATTCTCACCCTGAGCATTCTCCACCCCAGCCTGAAGAGACAGAACCCACACTGCCACAGCTGCTGGCGATCCTCTGGATGCAGAAGGAGCTGTCCCCCCACCTCAGGCTCTCTGCCTTGCCCTCCTCACTGCCACAAGGACCAAATTCAATCACAGAACCACCAGGGAAGAAACCTTCAAGAGCATCAAACCCAGCCCCAACACCTCAAATAAACCACGGCACCCAGTGCCACATCCAATCCTTCTTTAACCACATCCAGGGATGCTGACTCCGCCACCTCCCCAGGCAGAACATTCCAGTTCTTTATCACCCTTTCAGCAAAAAAACCCCACATTTTCCTAATATCCAACCTGTATTTCCCCTGGTGCAGCTCAAGGCTGTGTGCTCTGGTGTGTCAGTGCTGCCTGGAAACAGCTCAGCCCCCACCTGAGCACAGGCACCTTTCCTTGCCAGCACAGCCCTTATCACAGACAGCCAGATCACAGCTGCACTCTGCCCTCTGAAAAGCTCTCCACACACTCACAGATGCAGCAGCTCAAGAGCTCAGCGACAAAAGGGACCTCGAGCACCTCCTTTTCTTTCCCTGCCCACCTCACCTGCTCCATCCCAGCACGACACATAACGCCGATTTGAGAAAAACGGCCCAAGGAAAGGATTTTATGCCTCAGGATCTGCTTTGGGGTGCCCCCAGTGGATGAGGATTTCGGTGTCACCATCCTCTCTGCACATTTCATGGCGTTATTTGCAACCTGAATATTTCCCAAATTTAAGATTCCCCACCAACACCTACAGCAAGGCAGCCTGGCTTTGCCAGCAACTTGTCCCTGTTTTTATCCCAGGAAAAGGTAAAAAAGATGGAAAAGGTTCCATTTGCTTCAAGTTCAGAGATAATCTGACATCTTCTGTGCTGCTTTGGGGATATTTTACAAACGCGCCACTGAGGGGGGGTTTATAAATGGGTATTTATAAATGGGTAACATTTCTTTAAATCCACTGCAAAGCTGATTTGCAATGTTTTAATCACACACCTCATCTGTTTTCTAGCCTGCAGTACCTTCTGTACTGATTCAAGCTGCTTCTTGCAGCTCAGGAAGGGAAGAGACTCAAGTGAAAAAGCACAACCAGGTCCACGTCAGCCAAATTTCCCTATTTATCAGCTGGTACCAGATAACAGAGGATGCAATTTTTGGTTTTAACCACCCAGCACAAGTGGAGTTGTAATCAAACACCTGATTTGGCCTTCAGCCAAGCTGGTATTCCTGGCAAACAGCCAAACAAGTAGTTGGGATTTAGCAACAAGTGCCTTTTGTTTGCACAAATTTACGTGGAGTTTGAGCTTGGCCTGTGAGAAACAAAGCAGAGATGGTATTTTGATTTTTGATTTTGCTGTTGATTGGTTATTTGTTTGTTTTTATTCTAGTCCTGCCACCCAAAATAAAATATAAACATGAGTTTGCCCTCCTTTATAAGGGGCTGGAGATAAAGTTGCCATTTCCAGCCAAACTGGGATAATATCAATTTCCAAGTAATGCTTTGCCAAGGCATTTTCCAGGCCACCTTGCTCCAGCACAGCCCTTGTTGAAATTCAACAGGGAGATTACTCCTCCTTTGGAGGGATTAGAGGAATTGAAGAGTAAGTGCCATTCAATAATCCCGTGTAAGTATCTAATCAACCATAATGTAATTACCAGAAAGTTTTAAAAGGTCAAAAAGGCCTCAGTGTGACGTTACTTAAAAAGGAGAAGATTCCTCCTCTGCTCAGGCAATAACTTCAAAAAGAGAAGTCTAAGAGAAACAGAAAGCAAAAATGGAATATATTTTTAATTTTCTGTTAAAGAGAAACAGAATGCAAAAGTGGAATATATTTTTAATTTTCCATTAAAAACTGAGGGCAGGAGAGAGGGAACAGCAGAGATTTTGTTCTCCCAGAGAAATAATCCCCACAAAACCTTGCTGGAACAGGGCACAGGCACCCTGCTCCCCAGGTAACACACAACAAGATGCTGCTCCTTCAAGTGCATCTTGAACATGAAATATTGCACATGAAAATTCACAATATCAAGCATTGTTCATTCTCCAACAGCCTAAATAAACTGCTTTTCATAGGGTTTTTTTTTTTACACTTAAAGCAATAGACAGAAATGAAGAATATCTGAACAATCCCTCCCTTCTCCAGGCCTTGCAAGAGCAGAAAGAACTCCCCCAGCTCAGGACAGGTTGCAGGGGGTGGGAGAAGGGGGCAGAGAAATAAATGGCTTTTCAAAGTGAAGATTTGCAATGATTCCACCAGGTGAAGCAGCAGATGTTGCAGCCATTGACAAATCTCTGCAGGGACCAGGCATCACCCCTGAACAGCACTTTCAAAGCCTCCAGATCATGTTCATTTAACTGCAAGAACAGAATCCTAATAGGAAAACCCTCCCACACTGTCCCACCTTCCTTCCCAGGTGGAAATCAAGGGGACAAGGCAAACAAAAGAGACTTCAGCTGCATTTTCTCCTTTTCCCAGATAAGGACAATACATCCTTTTATTACCTAGCATAGCAGGAATTCTCCCTAATTTTTCTTTTACTTCTCCATGGCAGATAAAATTCTGTCTTTAAAGTGTTGTTCTTGACTCATGTTCAGAGCTGAAGAACTGGAAGGTTTCTGCTTATTTAATTAAATTTTCAACATCCATACAAAACCGTGGAGCAGACTAAGAGGAGAAGAAACACAAGCCTTAATTTAGACCAACAAATCTCAACTGGCCACACTGGGGAAAATAACTGTAGAAATCAAAGGCAAGCCAAGCACAAAGAGGAAAAAAAAAAATCCCCCAATAAATGGCTGTACCACGAGTAATGGCTGGAATGGTGTTTGAGAAGAAGCAAAGGGAAGTTCTGTGCTGGAGCACTCAGTTACCTTCTTGAAGAGGCGTCCTGAGTCCTCGCTGACCTGGACAAAGCGTGGGATGATGTTGTTGAGATAAATGTCACTGAGGGTGGTGTGGTCCCTGCTCTCCCTCTTCACCTGGTTGAGCAGCAGGTTCCAGCAGTTCACTGGCGACAGCACGTTCTGATCCTTCCTGCAAGGACACAAAACAGGAACAACTGGACAGGATTCCACCACCATTCTGGAGCTGTAAATGCAGCTGTGGGGTGGGTGGGATGCTGAGGAGAAGACAGAAAATACACCCTCAGCTCCCTTTCCCTACATTCCCACGAGCTTTTGTCATGCAACAAACGGATCCTGCAAACGCAAGCTGCACTGTGCCAAGCACAGGCTTTAATTTTTCCCTTTGAATCCAGGATTTTGTGCATAAATCAGAGCCTGAGGGAGGGAGGGCGATGGCTCCAGTGTCTGACAGAAGGTTTCGCAGTCCTGTCTCGAGAATTTGGGTCTTAACCACAATAAAAAAAGATTTCAAGCACCCAGTGAACCAAACAGCATCTGCATAGGAAACAAAACACTGTCTCCTGTGGAAAGCTCATTATGTGAAGGCTTCTCTATCTGTCCCCAGCCACAGACAGCAGCACTCCTAAAAGCAGCTTGATTTTCTCATCTTTGAACTTTCCCCACCTTCCTTCAGATCCAGGTGGAGCCTTAATGACAGCATTTACTTCTCTGCAGCTCTGTTTACCATTCATTTACAGCACAATAATATTTATCTAGAAAAGAGTAAAACCTGTGGTGCAAAGCCCCTGGAGTACAAGACTCTATCAGATATCTTTCCTCCTAAAAGAAATGCAGTTTAATTTCCACTGGAAAGGAAATATTTTGCACTTGAAAGGACAACAATCTCTGCTGCAAAGAAACATTGGGAAAACGGGAAAACCGAGCCAGGGCAGAGTTTCATTAGCCTTGTCATGACACCAGCAGCTGGATTTGTGCTGCAATAGGGATAATTTTAGATAAAGAGTTTCAGAACAGCTGATCTTGACGATTTTTTTTTTTTAATATTTTTTTTTCCTTTAACAAAAAATAAATTGGAAAGCTCAGGGCTGATCCAGACTGCTTCACCCACTGACTCCATCTCTGCCCTCTGAAGCTGGCAGAGCTACAAATGAAAATTACCCAGCTACAATGACGAGTTTGAGAATGAAACACAGGAACAAAAAACCCTCAGACTCTCCACCAAAACCCTGCCTGAAAACCCCTCAGAGCCCCATTCCTGCTCCATCACCAGCAGGAGCTGTGGCTGCAGGAGCCCACGGGCAGGATTTTCCATGGAGGAAAGGGGAGCTGCAGGAGTTAAACACACCAACCCCAGCTGTCCCAGCCACAGCAGCCCTGGCTATTCCAAGGCAGCAAATAGCAGGAATACCAGGAAAGGCTGGCCAGGGAAGTGGCTGGTGGCTGCTGGCGCCACACCGGTTGTTGACACACGCGCTGTGGTTCCACATGAAAGGCCATCCTGCAGGAGAAAATCACCCCAAAGCCCACACACTCCCAGGATTGTCACCTTTGGGATGCTCAAGCCACACACAGCCAGGTTCTCATTTGAAATTCCTTTAATTTCTTGCTGTCTCTTGGTTTCAGTAACCCCTTCAGTGCCTTGCTGGAACGGGCTCTGGCTTTTGTACAGATGCGGTGGCAGGGAAGGGAGGCAAAACATCTCCTTAATTATTTGCTAGTGACGATTTTCCCAGCAAAAAGCAGATATTCAAGGCAGAAATTGAACAGAAAAGGAAAGAGTTGCTTCAAACCTCCCAGGCATCCTTTAAAACTCCACACACATTAAGTTTTAAAGCACCTCTGGAACTGCAGCTTCTCCTTGGGCGCAGTTTTCCCAACAGGGAGCAGGAGTTCTACAACTGCTCACAATAAAACCCCTTCAATCCTCAGCACAGCAGATGGCAGGGAGCAAACTGTGATTGCCATTAACCATTTTAACCATTTCAACCCTCGGAGGAGCTGCCAAAGGCACTCTGCTCCCATGTCACCACAGAGGAAGATGGAAAAGGGAAATGTCAACAGGGCCTGGTGGGTAGAACCATCCCAAACTCCATCCCCACACATTCTGCAGGGTGACAGAGTCCCCGTTCACCCTGGAGAGGTAAAACCGATGAAATCAACCCAAAAACTTGAGGATGTGAATATAAACTTTCCCAAAGTGCTGGTGCCTTCACGCTGACAACTTTTTGACTCAAACTTCTCCCCAGAGCAGGGGGAGGAGGAGGAAGAAGATGCCAAGATGCAGATTTACTCCAAGCACTGTTTCTCCCGGTGTAAAGATGGTGTATGATAGTGAGTGAGGAGAGTTTATTTAGGTTAGCCTAAATTACAGCAGATCCCAGCACTGGGGGCTGGCTGGCAGCAGGAAGAGGAAGGTTTTTAGGGAACCACAAATGATGAAGCCCTGTGGTTTCTCGGGTCTCATCTTGATCAGGTCCTGTGCAACTTCCACTTCAAAGGTTTCAGCTGGGTCTCCAAAAGATCATAAGGGAAGATTGAGTCTCGAGTATCTTAATTAAATTACTCATTCATACAAGGGACTGGCAGACAATCCAAGATTGATCTGCTTCAAGGCAAGCAGGGGAGAGCGACAGAAGCCAACAACACTGAGTTGGGATTGCAAGGAAATAGGAGAAAAGTCATCTTACAAAACAGATTCAAATAAAAAAATAATCACTAACAAAATAAATATTTTTTAAAAATAAATCTAAAACCACACCCACAAACCAGGAACAGGAACCATGTGTTCCCATAAGGAGCACAAGACGAGGGAATGAATCAGACGAGAATGAAAATATTCATTCAAATGGAGAGAAAGGCCTTGTCCAACCTGGGCTTGGACACTTCCAGGCATGGGGCAGCCACAGTTTCTCTGGGCAGCCTGTTCCAGGCCTTCCCCTCCCTCCCAGGGAGGAATTCCTCCCCAGTATCTCACCTGAGCCCATCCACTCCTTGTCCCGTCCTGATGAAGGCTCCAAGGGACGTTCCACTGTCCCTGGCAACAGAAAACTTCCCCGACCATCCCTGCTGTGAGTGAGGTCTTTAAAACAACACCTGAAGTCTCCTGTTTCACCTCCTCATCTCCCCAAAATATTCACATTTTCCCAAGATGTGTCCAGCAGGCTTTTCCAAAGCTGCTGCATTCCAGGACAGTCAACTCTGCAAATCCTCAGAGCTGGAGCCAGGCCAAAAGTGAGAGCAGAGATTTAATTGTTCCTCTGAATGCAGCCCTGTCTGAATTTTGTCCTCTGGCCACAATCACAGCAACGTGGTGCGAGACCAGCACCACTGAGATGATGAAAAACAGCACAAAAATCCTCCCTGAGGTTTTCCATCCATTTCTGCCGGTCGTGTATCCCCAGCTCTCTGCATTCACGGAGGTCACTGAATCAATGAATGTTTAATGCTTACAAAACCCTTCCAAATGGGGAATTTTATTCTGACAGGCTCAGAATAAAATGTGCAGGACTCGGTTTCAGCAAAGAGAACCACAAAAATAGCTTATGATAATGTTTATTAGTATTAATAATAATAATGTAAGTGGAGCCCACGTGACCCAAATGCTTTTGTCAATTCCCCCCTCACAATCTGTATCATCCCTGCTTTACAGAAATCATTTTACTTTTAGGAAGATTAAAGCTGAACTTCTCTGCAAGCTGCTCATCCACATTTGATTTTCCCTGACACAGCTCGGTGTGAACTGTAAATTTTGAGAATTACAAGCATGGACATCCATGCTGCTCCCTGCCCTTCTCTTCCAAGAGATTCCAGTTATGAACATCTGTTGTTTACAAGTGCTCAGCCTGAAGGTTGCCAGACTTATTCTGCATCTTCTACTTCAAGGCAAAGGCTGCCAGAAAGCCATCTGAATTTCATGCTGGGATATCCTGGACATTCAGCTCTCCAGCTGACAATTGCTACTCAGGATCCTGCTTCCAAAGATTAACTTGATTTAAAATATGGCCTTAAAAATAGCATTGTCTTTTCTCTTTTGTTTTTATTTTTTTTCCTTTTTTTTTTTCTTTTTCCATTTTCTGCCTCAAAAGCAATCACTCAAGATTTGCCATGGTTTTCATATTGTTAACTGATTATTTGAATAGGCAAATGCCTCCAGGACAAAAAATCACATGAAATAGGAGAACGGAAGGCTGGGGTTGGAGGTCCCAGGGTCTGAGTGCAGTGGGACAAAGCCTTTTTCGGGGGGCTGGAATTCACACCCAGCCCTGCAGCCTGCAGGGAGCCTGAGACCCAAGAGCCAGCTGTGAGATGGCTGATTTACACCTGATTTACACCTGATTTACACCTCAGGCACCACACCTGGGACAAACAGGCTCCTGGAGCAACCACAGTTACAAGGCTTGGGCTTTGAAAGGGTATCAGGAATATATATAATATATACACCAAATATTGTGTATGGCTATTCCCTTTAATAACCTCATTGAAAAAAAAAATCCAACACTTTTTGAAAGAGAAGAGGCACAGTGAGGTCTAACAGCCATGGCAGAGAAGTTAAAATCAAGTAAAACCTGGGCTGTATCCAACTGCCATCAACTCCTGTGTCACCCTGGCTAAATCAATCTGTTCCCCTTCTTCAGAGACGTCAGATGAGGATAACACACACCTACCCCTGTAAATCATTTTAAGATGCTCCAGTGAAGCTTCAAACTGAGCACCCTTTCAGCCCAAGCCCAGCCATCTCCAGCTCAAAACCCACCTGGAAAATTCTCCTGCAAGGAAGGGCTGAGAGCTGGGTTTGTGGAGGCTGAGGAAATTTGGCTTGCTGAGCCTGGAGAAAAGGAGCTTTGGGGTGACCCAGCTGTGCCCTCGCCGTGCCTGAAGCTGATGGAGAGAGATGATTTACAAAGGGCTGGAAGGACAAGAGGGATGGCTTCAAACTGACAGAGGGCAGCTTTAGAAGGGATATTGGCAAGAAATTCTTTCCTGTGAGAAACTGGCACAGGTTTCCCAGGGAAGCTGTGGCTGCCTCATCCCTGGAAGTGTCCAAGGCCGGGTTTGGAGCAACCTGGGATAGTGGAAGGTATCCAGGGACTGGATGAGCTTTAGGGTCCCTTCCAACTCAAACCATTCCTGTGATTCAATACAAACGTGGCCACATCTAAGAAAAACAAACCTCGCTAGGCTTTGGGAAGCCCCACGCTGCTCTTTCCTTGAAGCCTGTGCTTCTTCCCAGTGTGGAGGAATCCACACACTCCAATTTCAGGGGTCAGCCCGAAGCCTCCTGCCCTGGAGAGCATTCCCTTGGACAAACCCAAATTCCATAATAGCTGCAGAGCAGGAAAGCCATGCAAATGACAGGGTGGCTGCCTGACAGATTTCCTCCCGGCCCGTGTGTCAGGAGATCTAAAAACGGGATGTGCCACAGGGAGCAGGCAGGGAATGATACGGTACCTTCGACATAATTAGCAGTTCTGGGGAGAGCAGGCTATTATGGGGTATTTATAGGGTCAGAGCCAGGCAATTACAGAGCAGGCTCCTCTGGCAGACGTGTAATCCCGAGGAGCAGGGAGCTGATGGCTGGCTTTGATCAAATGGGGGCTCCCAATGGGATTCCAGCTCCAGCATCTCCACGAGAGATGCCGGCCACGATACTCGCTGTGATTCAGAGCAGCACTGGGGACAGGTGGTTACAGTGGGAATTGCTCCCCTATGGATCCCTGTGGCAATCTGGAACTCTTCTGACTGGCGCAGCTGGCACAAAAATGACCACACAAATGCTGCATGGCCAGCCTGAGCTGTGCCACGGCTGACCACACACCCAGCAGCCTCAGACTTTGTGTTCTTCTTCTCTTATTCCAACTCTTGACCAAATTTATGTGTGTATTTAGGACTCAGACCTCGCAGGGATGCCATATTCCAAGAGCAAGGTGTTTTTCTGGCAGGAGCAAGCTGCTGCTAAAGTGAAATCACCAGCCCTCTCCCTGCAAATCCTGCAGGATTCTGTTCGACTCTGGGCAAAAATTCCACGTTATAAATTCATTCTAAATCCCCAAGCAGAAGTTCTACACAACTTTGTCAAGCCAAATACAAAAGTGTTTCTGATGGGATGTTTCATATCACGTAATATAAAGCAAATCACCTCAATTTTCACCAGAAATAACAACAAAATCAACCAAAACCACTGATCATACTGCAAATGAAAACTGTAATTCTAGACACCATCTCTTTAGTGCCATCTTAAAGGCACGTGCAGGATGTGCACAGTTTACAGCTGTAAAAACACTTTCACTCCAAAGGAAAAGAAAAAAATCCTTCAGATTCTGAGATGGATATGCAGAACAACCCTTCCCCAGTCTGTCAAACAGCTCTGCTCTGGAGCCAGCCTTTCCTGAGGAGGCAGCACAACGTGTGCTCTAAATGAGAACCCAAGTGAATGACATCAAAGCTGTGCAGACAGGAAACTAAAATGGTGCCTCCTTAATGGCTTCCACAAAGAGAGCTGCTGCTGGAAAGGGGAAGCTGCTGTGTCCCCACATCCCCCCAAACACAGCAACAACACAAACACAGGGAGAACGTCCCGACCCAAACAATGCGAAAAGTGACGCCGCGCTCTGGGCGGGGGCAGCCCCAGATGGATCCTCTCAGCCCGAAATGTCCAAAGCAGAAATGATTCAGATCCCAAGGCTGCTGCTGCTGCTGCTCCGTGTTTTTCCCCAGCTGCTGCCCTGACAACACAACCCAACAAGGCTGAGCACTGCCTGGATGGGAGCCACAGGCTGGGAGCCCCCTCCTCACCCACACACCCCCTGCTCCTGGGAAAAGGGCCTCAGAAGAACCAGGAGGATGTAAACCCATGAAACCAAATTCCATCTGCATCAGTGTCCTGGTTTAGGGCAAATTTGGGAGAGAACTGTCACTGCAGGACAATCAGTCACCCCAAGGCAGAGAAGAGGGGAAGAACATCCAGGAACAAGCCCAGCAGCATGGCCAGACCCACCTGTAAATGATGTTTCAGGCAGGAGAGTCCAGAGATTGTCAGTAAGGACATGTTTAGATTTTAATTGAGTCCCACCAGCTCGGTGTCCAGGGATTCCCCACCCACAGTGGCACAGCTCTCTTTGGAAATGCTACTGGCCTTATTTCCCTGCTGTTTGAAGTGATAGTAGCAGAGCTGCAGCACAACTCCCACACAGAGCGTGTGTGGGATCCCAAAAACAGAGAACTGACAGCAGGGAACAGATTGGGAACAGCTTCCCTTCAGAAAACCAAAGCCATCGACACTGAAGGAAATCCTGGCTTTGTCCATCAAATCTGGCACACAGCTTTGCCCACATTTCCCAAGAAAATGACTCCTTTTGCACATTCTTACATCCCATTCCCTATTAACAGCACACAACCTACCAGGAGTTATTGACATGAATGAGCACCCAGAAACAGGGAATGGCTTCTGTGTCCAACACAAACTTGGGGAACGTTTGGCTCTGGAATTCAGAGCAGTGCTGGTGCCTGCATTCACTCTTAACAACTCTCACTTCCATTCCTGTCCTTGCAATCAAATCTACAGCTGGGAAAAAAGGGCAGAAACAAAAGGCAAATACTCTACTTGAATTGCTGGTCTTTGGTGCTCCTAGTTTTAGCCAGGAATCTTTCAGCCAACTTCTCCAAATTCCTGGAGTAATCCATCTCAATCTCTGCCTTCTTGCGGAAGAAATCCTGCAAGTCCTGCAGTAACTGGACCCGAAGCTCACACTGCTGGTCAAGGCATTTCAGCTGCTCTACCAATTGGGCACGGATCTCTGCAACAAATAAAAGCACTGCAGATTAAACACAATCCCATCACAGAAAACACCATCAAAAAACACCACAGTTCTCCAGCAAATCATCGTTAAAAAATATGTTTCCTCGTTAGTGTCAGCCAGGCTCCCTCGTGGTGATTAACTCTATTTGCAGGCAGAAAATGACTGGGGTTGCACCTTGGACACACCAATCCCAGGAAATCCATCCCAAACCCCACAGTCTGGTGCACAGCAAAGCTCTGCTGCTGAAAAGTGCATCAGTTACAAGTGTCAAGTGCATTTTTGGCATGGGGAACGAGTGGTCACTGCCTAAAAATGTACTGAATCTCAGTCTGGAAAAAGGACTGAATGCTACAATCCCCCACGTCAGCTCAGCAGATCACTTCAGGGAATTTCTATCAAATTCCTCTGCAAACTACTCCTGATGCAGAAACAAGACATTGCACACTCTGGGGCACTCCCCGAAGGCACCAAATTCAGATTATTCAGTTTGTTCCTGAGTCTCCAGCTGGGCAGCTCATTATAAACCCAGCCATGAAAGAGATGAAGAAACCCCTCTGGAGAGCCAACACCAGAGCACTTCCCAAATGGGAATCATCTCCAGGAAAGCTCCTTTTCCTTTTAAAATATCTGCAAGCAACGTATCTCCATCTAAGGACTCCATAAAGCACACAGATATAGGTGTTAATATTATAATTAATTATTAATATATATTCATAATAATCACAGCATGATTACTATGAATGTCTCTACATTAACACAACGTTTTACAAACAGTTTTCAAACATTTTACAAACGTAAAAGCTTTTCCCATTAGCCATGTGTTCTCCTTATCCCACTGATCCTGAATTTAAGGGACAGAATAGTAAAATGACTCACTCACGGTCAAACAGGGCAAGAAAACACAGCAGAAGTGTGTCAGTCCCAGCCTAAAAATGCAGAAATATTCAGTGATGCCGCCAGCAAAGGCTATTTGGCTTTTACACAGGCAATAAACTCAACATGAAATCAATAAAATATGCCCTTTCATCTAAAGGTCTTTGAGCAGTCAAAGCGTAGAGATTTGCCATGGCCTGACTGCGAGTGCTGCTCCCTCCAAAGCTTTCCTGACGTGTTGTTCCAGGCTGAGCCCAGAACCAGCAATAAAATTTCAGGTTTTACAGCTTTCCTCACACCTCCACGCTGTGACTGCAGGCGCCCACGACTCCATCACCACAAGGGAAGGAGAGGAGGGAGCATTCCCCAAATCCAATTTTTTTAGGAATAGGCGACTTCACCGCTGATTCCTGAAATACAGAAAATCACGGAGAGCAGCTTGGCTCCTCTGGGAGTTTGTCCCTTTGCCCAGGAAAAAAAAGCAACAAACAAACATCTGGACCTCCATGGTTTAATTCCTGCCATGCACTCCCAGTATCAGTTTGCTCGGATCGTGCTCACGTCTGCGGGAATGGATTTAGGGAATCCGGGATTCGCCGTGAACAAAACCCCGCATCTTTATTTTAAGGACTCCAAAACCCAAACCACATGTATGAAAACACGGCTCCCAGTCAGGCTTGCCAAAAAGAGGGGAAAAAAAATAAAAAATCTGCACAAATGTGGGGTTTTCAAGCTTGAAGATGACCTTGATTAGCACTGAATTTGGTCGTTCCAAACTTCTCAGCCTGTGGCACCCAGGGGCTTTTGCTGCAAGGAGGAAATTCTTGCTGAAAAGGAGGAGTCATCACTAATGTGGGGGCAAAGCTGGTCAGATCTCTTTTTTTTCCCCAGGAGAGAATCTTAAAAAACCAGAAAACCTGTGTTTCTTCACCAGGAAACACAGCTACAGGCAAATGCATCCACCTGAGCTGTCTGTGCACCTCTGTAACCAAAAGCACTCCAGCTCCATCGTTTTCCCAGGGATGCCCCAGCTCAGGTGGGAAGAGTGTGGGGTCACCCCAGGGAGATCTCTGCACCCTTTAAGGGTGCTGAGGAGAGAAATCCATGGGGAACCTGACCCTGGCTGTGCAGGGAAGCACAATCCACACCAGGTGAAACCTGCACGCTGCATTTACTGCAGCCCTGGAGATCCCTTTGCTTCTGAGCTGCCTTTGTTGTTTGCTCCATCCCAGCTGGTGTTTCAGGACTGGCAGGGCCACGGGGATGCTCACACACATCAGACCTGCCAGCATTTATGGAAAACTTTGCTCAAGAGTGTGCTGCACACCCTCAGCTTGTGGGGCCACAAACCCACTCAAGGATTTGCAAGGCTCTGCACGAGTGACAGGTTTAACCAGGGAAATGCAAACCAGACACCCCCATCCCACCTGAGGCATTGCCATTAAGACTTTTTAAATCAAAGGAGGTGATAACAGCACCAAAATTGCCAGGAAGGTGGCGTTTCCTTGCTGCCACCACTCAGTTCTCCTGATCCTTAACCTGATACTCACCTGCAGGTCTGGCATCCAAAAAGGAACATTCTTCAACACAAGAAGCACTAGAAAGCTCTTCCTCCCTTTGTGTTTTCCTCTCCTCCACCCTTTCCTCACCAAAAGGGATGTTCCCAACACAGAAACAACTCTGTGACCTTTTCAGAAGCTACTGGACAAAAGACACTAACTATAGGAAGTTGAGGACTCACTGAAAGGGATCCCACCTGAGCAGATCTGGTGTTTTCTGCTAAGTACGTTAAGAAAGAGAGTCAGGATTCAAACACAGCAAATTTTGCCTGTGATGTTTTTACTTGTGCATTTAGGGACTGCTCATCTGCAATTTTTTGGAAGTCAGCAACCCTTTTAGCACGGATGGACAGCAGACACCTTGTTAGAGAGAGGAGTGGAGTAGGGATGGAAATAGCAGATTCAGGCAGACCGTGACCACCCACCCTCCTTGGTGCCTCAACTGATGGATTTGTTATGAGGGCAACAACCCAGCAAAACTGGATGTTCTCCATGATGTTCTCAACTGGAAAACCACCTCCTGGAGCAAAAGGAGAACTACAAAGGAGCGTTTCCAAAAAACCAGCAGCTCTCAAAAACAAGATCAGCAGAGCACGAGTGTTTTAATTAGAAAATCACAACACAGCTCTTGGCTCTGGAGGTGGGACACTTCACACGCAGCCCTCTCACTGAACAGCACTGAGAACCAGCAACTTCTCCTTCAGTGTGAAATGCGATATCAGCACTTTTCTTTATAAATAAAGGCAGTGTTTTGGAGGGGAGCAGTGACAGCTGACCGGGCTCCTGCAGGGAACAATGAGCCATTCAGGCCTGGCTTATCGAGGCCGTGGCGCTGGGCCGGAGCGAGGCAACCTTGCTCATCTTTCAAACACACACCCCGCAGTCCTCTGCCACAAAATAAAATCAAGAATGCAGGAATTTCCTGAGGCTTACTGGGCTTCCCAGAGTATAAAGTGTCTGCTTGTTTTCCCACTGCTTACACAAGCAGAAGGTATTTTTTTCGGCCCTGCTCCGAGCACATCCCCCGGAGGAGTCGGGGCCGTGCGTGCTCTAACCCGGGGGTCACCGAATTACACGGGACCTTTTCATGTCTCCAGTCACAACAACCACTCCAGTCCTGAATCCACTGCTTCTGCATCTTTTAATTTGCACAGGTTATTAGGTTAACAGCCACTTTAAACACCAAAAAAAGCCTTTCCCCCCGCTTTCCTTTAGAGCTTGGCAATCCCACCCACGGCGGTCGCCGAAGACAAGGAACAACCTCCTGAAGATTCTGCTCCAAGGGTGAATAAGCACACGTTGAATTCAAGGTCAAGATGCCGGTGGCAAAATTAGGATTAAACACCAGGTATTTTTATTGCAAGCCTTGCCCTGTATTGCTGAGTTCTGCCTATTGTAGTTCAAGCTCACGTGGCTGACAGCTACATAATGCAAACACCCTCAGCGGCCACAGAAAGTTTTCCATCCGCTTCAAACAAACCATTTATTCGTTTCCATCACCAGATTATAAAGTCACCTGGGTCACTGAGGGACAGACCTTTGTGTAATTCTGGACAGCTGCATGACCTGACTTTTACCCATTCTGCAGCCACCTTTTCAACATCCCATGGAGCATGCAGGAGGCAGGTCCAGTTCACAACGAATTCAGAGGAATCAGGAAGGATCTTCTGCCTTCTAGATTTTAGTCCCATTTGCCATTCCCCACCCAGAGCAGCTGTGGCTGCCCCATCCCTGGAAGTGTTCAAGGCTAGGTTGGACGGAGCTTGCAGCAAGCTGGAAGGGGCAGGGGCTGGAATGAGATGAGCTTTAAGGTCCCTTCCATCCCAAAGCATTCCATGATCCTCAGCATCCTCAGACTCCACCAAACACAACAGATTCCTGCAGAGCTCCTGGCAAGAATTTGTGTTTTCATCAAACAATTCCACCTGGAGCAGGGGGATATCCACAGTGACTGGGGCTCTGGTACAGCACCCAACATCCACCCTCTGAAAAAGAATTTCCCAAACTCAACTTTTTAAGGCTTAAGCGTCCTATGAAGTTGGAACACGGAACCAAATCTTCTGTACCAACTTGTTCATTCTCCCACAGGTCACGCAGTGACCTCAGGAAGGGCAACCTCAGAGCCCAGAGCCCTCCTTCAGGGACTCTAAACGACGTTCCTGCTTTGAGCAGGATCATGTCCCTCCCTAGGAAGGGTTTCAGCTCTTCCCTGGGTAAGCTGGAACCGCTCTAGCTGGATGGCAGCAGGGTGAATCACAGGCTGCCAGCACAGGGCACCAGAGGAGGCACGAGCAGCCCCAGCTGCTGCTCAGTATCTCGCCCATCTCTGCATCCACGCCGCGGCTTTCCCAAGGAGTCCCCGCCCCATCCCGAGTGCCACGCTGGATAAAAAGATGACAAGCTTGGGAAAGGAGTGGGATGGCAGCAAAACAGAACCACCAAGCGCCGGCTCCCGCCCAGATGAAACAGCGAGGCTCTCACCCACACGGATCTGCTGCCCTGGGCAGAGCCCAGCTCCAAACCCAGCTGTGCCCGGTGGTCCCACACTCATCCCCATCCCATGGC